CCCCTTCCCTACCCTGGGTTATCCAGGGGGGTTTAAATCCCTCCCTACCCTGGGTTATCTGGGGGGTTTATCCCCCCCTACCCGGGGGTTTTTCCCGGGGGGTTTTTTTATCCCTCCCTACCCTGGTTGGTTATCCCCCCCTACCCGGGGTTTTATTCCTGGATGGTTACCCCTCCCTACCCTGGGTTATCCTGGGGGGTTATCCCTCCCAAACCCGGGGTTTTATCCTGGGGGGGTTACCCCCTCCTCCCCTTGGGTTACCCTGGGGGGTTATCCCCTCCCAACCCGGGGTTATCCTGGGGGGTTATCCCTCCCTACCCGGGGTTTCCTGGGGGTTTAAATCCTCCCTACCCTTTTTTCCCCTGGGTGGTTATCCCCCCTTTTCCTGGGTTATCCTGGATGGTTATCCCCCCCCTCCCCCCGGGTTTACCCTGGTAGATCAAGAAAGACTGTTGCTTTTTAAAATTTTTCATTATGAAAAATTAACAAGGAGGTTAATAACCCAGGAAAACTTAATAAAGTCCCTGAGTCTCTTATTTTCAATGTCATCCTTTAATTTTCTCCCCCAGGATGCCCCCCACACCAGCCCACCAAAACCCCCCATACCTACTTTCTGCTTTGGTGAACCTCCCCAGGGACCTTATTTTTAAAAATAAAATTAAAATTTACGAATATTTGAGTAAATTTGTCCAATAATTCTGCGGCCGCACAGGTGTTTTAGGCCTAATAACAATTATAAAATATAGGCCCATGATCCAGGATGACCTAATGAAGGGGACACAGGGTACCTTTTCCCCCTGGAAAAGGGACTCAGGTTACGCTGCGAATGAAACCCACTGGGTGATTTTGGTTTTAATTTTGACGTTGTTTTTTTTCTTCTTGAGAGGTTTTTTAAGAAACCTTTTAAAAATTCCACTTTTTTGCCCCGACTCACCTGTCCGGGGAAAAAAAGGGATTTTCTTATCCTGGGCTGGAATTAGTGGTTTTTAAAAAAAAGTTTTTTAATAAAGTTGGACATTTGCATCCCAAAAAGTTTTCAATAAGAAGAGTTGGGGGATCCTTCTTTTTTTTAACCCAGAGGGAAAAAACCCCCAAGGGCACTCAAATTTTATATCTTCTAAGTCAACAAAAAACCCGGGTTTTAGTGAAGATAGCAGGAGAGAAATGGTCTGAAATACCACTTGGACAGAAAAAAATAGAGAAAAATGCAGTTTTTTACGTTACTTTTTTATTGATTTCCCCCCAAATTTTAAAGGGGCCCCTATTTTATAACCACATTGTTCGGGGGAAATGTTTTCATTAAAGTGTCTCATTTTACTGAAAGCATGTCTTTTTTCCCCGGGGCCCTTTAAGGGGGGTTAAGTATGGGCACCTTTAATATTGTCCCGAGGAAAGATAGTACAATACAGTGCATTACAACTTTATTTCAGCATAATACATTGTTTATACAGAAATGGATGATACTTAAGAGCATGTTAAAACATGTTAAAACATGTTAAAAGCCTACGGTTATGCAGAGCATTTCTGGCAAGCTTGATGTGAGGGCCAGCGTTCCAGGGGTATATTCACTCCCTTTGTTCACTTCGGAATAGCTTCAATATTTAATTGCTAATGCATCTTAGGGCAATGATTATACCGATTATTTTTCTTTTGCGTACAGGCAAATTGGTTGATGTATCAAAAAAAAAAAAACCTTGGAATCGCTGGAATCTGATTAGATTAGATTTTAGATTTTGCCACCGAAGTGGCTAGTTTATTGTGCACCCCATATCCATCCTGTGGACGGTAGCGCGAGAGCATATGGATACACAAAAGGCCTAGGAACTAGGCCCCAAAGGGTTAACAGGAATACATATGGATTTATATCTACATATCTATAGTTCACTTATCTGTTACAAGCAAATTTAGGAAATTTGCTTAGTATATCTGGTATCTTATTTTCATTAATAAGATATCTTGACATGTCACATAGGTTATTATACTGTCTGTCTCTGTATTCCTCAATAAGTGGACAATTAAGCACATAGTGTTCAAGAGAGTGACCATATGCCTTATCACATAATTTACATTTATTTTGATCATCATCTGTGTGTCTCCCAAACTACCAGAAGTACTTGTAACCAAGCCTAAGTCTGGCCACTACAACATCAGTCAGTACTTGTAACCAAGCCTAAGCATGGCCACTACAACATCAGTCAGTGCTTGTAACTAAGCCTAAGCCTGGCCACTACAACATCAGTCAGTACTTGTAACCAAGCCTAAGCCTGGCCACTACAACAATCAGTCAGTGCTTTTAACTAAGCCTAAGCCTGGCCACTACAACATCAGTCAGTACTTGTAACCAAGCCTAAGCCTGGCCACTACAACATCAGTCAGTGCTTTTAACCAAGCCTAAGCCCGGTCACTACAAAAATCCCGTCAGTACTTGTAACCAGCCTAAGCCCGGCCACTACAACATCAGTCAGTGTTCACATTGCAAGTTGCTCCTAAAACATACTTATCTACGTTCATGTTATCATAGTGGGTTATAGATCTACTCAGGCTTCTAACTGCATTTCCCCATAACAATCATTTACATTATTTACTTCTCTCCTAATATTATTCCTAATGCTAGACACAGATATACCAAAGTTAAAATTCACATTCTCCTTCTGGGTACCCTTTTTGGCTAACATACAACTTTATCATGAAGGAGTAATCCAATGTGTGATGGGATCCATAGCAATTGTACATTAATTCCTTTGTCCCTAATTTTTGGTATCTATACCGGCTTTTCCCCAATGAGAATGTTGTTGGAGTCATTATATGAGTCAAGAGCCCCTTCAATGATGACATAGAATCAGTAATGATGATAGAGTCAAGCTCAGTGTCATAAGTTAGCTTTAGCGCCATTAGGATTGCAACAATTCAGTTTGCAGTGTAGACGCCCAGTTTTTTAATTTTTTATGCCCAACTCAACAAATTTATTATCGTTCTTAAAATAGGGAGGTGGCAACAAGAGCAGATGCAGCCCTGCCAGAAGACTCCTGTTTAGATCCAAATTTGAATATGATTTGTGATAACTTATTACTACCAGCTGGGTGAGCCTTTGCTAACACCATTTTGGGCCCAAAAATAGCCCCTAATCCCCCACCACCCTTACCCACCATTCCCCATACCCCACTGGACCCCAAGGGGGAAAAAATTAAAAACCCCTTGGAAATAAGTAACTATATTAATGTAAAAAAATATCTTTATTTCAAAAAGGAAACTTGTACAAGGTATACAAAACATGTACAAGGTCCGGTGGCCCTGGTGGCTAAAGCTCCCGCTTAACAGGGGAAGGGCCCGGGTTCGTTTCCCCGGGGGTGGAAATTCCGACACTTTTTCCCTTTCACCTATTGTCCCGTTCACCCAGCAGGGAAAAGGTACCTGGGTGTTAGCACTGGTGTGGGTCGCATCCTGGGGGGGCAAGATTAAAGGACCCCCAATGGAAAAAGTTAGACAGTCCGATGAAAGCACTGACTTTTTTTTTGGGGTTTCCTGGGGGGTAACCCTCCGGGGTTAAAAATCCGAACAAAAATCTCATCTCTTTTCTCTCTCTACATGTAAAAGGGATACAAGTACATTTTCAAGGTATTTCAAGTACAAGTAAAAAAGTATACAAGTAAAATTTTAACAAGGGATACAAGTCATGTAAAAAGGGAAAAAAAGTAAAATGTCAAGGTATCAAGTACATTTCACAAGGTATACAGACCATAGCTGACACCAATGACATACTACAAAATTTTTAAAATCCCTTTTTATGTGAAACATTTCCCGCAAATTAGGGCATTTTTTTCCCAGGATGTGACCCACACCAGCCCACTAAAACCCAGGATGTGACCCAACCAGCCCAAAAACACAGGATGTGCCCACCCCAGTCCCTAACACCCAGATACCCATTCATACTGAGGGGAAACATGGACAGCAGGTGTCGTAGGAAACCACAGCCCCAATGTTACCCAGCCGTACCGGAGATTCGAACTCCGGCCCTCAGTGTGTGAGTGAGTCCCCCCCTGGCGAGGGAGCTACAGGCACTTGACGTTTTTTGTGTCATCCTGAGGGTTTAAATTTAAACATATTTTCAGATTTAAATTGTACCTATGTATACCTGTACCTAAAAAAACTTAGTTGGGGTGGTATACGTAGAACCCTTTCCCAACGTCGTTTTGTGTCTGTCCTGCCCGAAAGGCTGTCTTTCCCGACTTCAACCGTCTTGAGCTGTTGGAAGGGAAAACATATGTCCAACCCACTCGAACTTCAAAGTTTTGATGTTGCAAATAGAGAAGTCAATAGTAGCACTTTAAAGTGAACTTTGGGGATCCCTTTTTGGAATGGACATTGTTTAAAACTCACAACAAAATTCAGCTGCATTATTTAGGGATACAAAAGCGAAAAATAAAAAAGATACAACTGGGACTCCCCCAAAAAAGTGTATTAATGTGGTCATCAGTGACCTACTTAAATCTAAACCGGATACCCTCAGCAATATCACAATGTCAGAAAAGAACTAGCAGTCGAGCTTGAGGACAGTAGAACAGTATAGATAGGAACTAGCAGATCCATTTTCCATCATAATGAAATGTATAAAGTCAAACATTTCTATGGAGAAAGTAACAAGGCCATTGATTGTTGGATGTTGTTACTGTTAGACTATCTAAATGTTGGGGCCCAGTTCCTGGTCCCATTATGTACCTCTGTAATCTTTTTGACTATCGTTCACAGGATGAGTTTCAGGTGCATAATAAAGATATTAAGCTAAACTAAAACTCCTTGGTTGTCGTGTTGTGCCGGACGCTAGAAGGCTGGGCTCTATACGGCGTCAGTTGCCTGTGGCCCTATAAACAACCAACAACAAGAGCAAGAACTGTATTTGTCAGTGTGGAGAAACTTGACCCTCCAGATCGTCAGGAGATCTTGGCCTGTACCTGCGCATTTTCGCTGCTTCAGGGCGCATTAAGAACATAAAAGACGCACAGTTATTCAACTTCCTTCCACTATGGTGGAGGTTCCTTTTCCGAGCAGTGAAAGGCCGGGCTCGATAATCCGGCTTAAGCTGTCAGTGGCCCTTATAAACCAACAACAACAACAACAACAACAACAGGTACTTGCAACGTGTTATTTATCTCCTTTATTCAAGCACCTCAAGGGAGGCTCCTTGATGCTGGCGAGGGGCTCTTGATCTAGGAAATTGGATCTGTGCTCCAGTTCCCTGGATTGAACCAGAATACCTTCCACCTTCCCCCACAGGCGCTGTATAATCCTACGGGTTTAGCGCTTCCCCCTTAATTGTAATAATAATTGATCCAGGAGATAATTTCTTCTTCTAAATCATGTGCTGCTATTTTTTTTATCAATATCTTGTGTAAAACACTATCAAAGACCCCAGTGGTAATAAAGTCACTTTGACTTTTTTGAGTTATCCAAAAAAGTCAGTGACTTATGTTGCTATGAATGATAATCTATGTATGATAATCTATGTTGCTATGTATGATAATTATGTCTGATAATCTGTGTATGACTCACAAAATCGTAATGGCACGATTGCAAACAAACCATAGCATGCGACGGTCTGGAGTTTTGAGACTCTCTGACCGCGGGTTCTAACCCCGCCCGTGGTATGGTTTAATCAATGTATGATTATGTATGATAATCTATATCTGATAATCTATGTACAATAATCTATATCTGATAATCTATGTACAATAATCTATATCTGATAATCTATGTAAAATAATCTATGTACAATAATCTATATCTGATAATCTATGTATAATAATCTATGTCTGATAATCTATGTATGATAATCTGTGCTGCTGTGTATGATAATCTATGTAACTAATTATGCATACCTTAATAAAAACTTACATACTTACTTATCAAAGCTTTACTCAAGTTCATATACACAATATCGCTTATATATACTGTTATTTATATATACTGTTATTTATATATGTTATTTATATATACTGGTTCCCTCACTCTTTTGTGTTAATGTAATTTTGTAAATGGCCCAAGTTGGACCGAAACATCGTTGTAAGGTTTCTCTCTCACATATGCAGGTTATTTGCGTACGATATATTCTTGGTCTATCACCTCAAATATCTTAGTTAAAAGTCAAGAACACCCCTTTACTGAGATTCACTGATTAAATTACTTCTTTCAAGGTAGCTTCAGATTTCATCCAAAGTCATTAATTCTAACTTTTCAAAACTCAACGTTAGGCTGATATTTTATACCGTGTATAATTTTAAGCTGAAGTCCTAGTTCCTGCTTTCTAAATTGGTATCATATTAGCCATTTTTCCTCTTATATGGTACAGTCCTCATTTATAGTGATCTGTAGAAGAGATTACATTGCACCTCACGTTGTACAGCTCTTGGGCCACAGTTGAAACACTCTGAATCGAATCCTGAGCAAGAAAAGGCATGGGCAAGTCTCCCACTTATTGCAATAAATAGATGCCTAAGGGGTAATTTATTGTTGTGGGTAGCATCCTGGGGGAGAGGACCTAAGGACCTCATTAAAATTAGTTTACACTGCTTGGATTTTATTTGTGCTGCTTCAGCAACTAGTTTATTGTACACCCACAGCTTATCTGTGGGTGTCTGTATAGTCCTTGTGGCTTAGCGCTTCTTTTTGATTATAATAATATTTATCTGTGGGTGTACAGTTTATATTCTTGTAGATTAGTTGTGAATTGTTCCAGCCACAGTACTGTGGGTTTTATTCTTGTTCATTAGTTGTGAATTGTTCCAGCCATGGTATTATGATTTATTTTTTTAATTGACTTTGTGTGCAGGTACCAAGAGGACGGGACCTGTGACTGTGTGTAGGTACCAAGAGGACAGAACCTGTGACTGTGTGTTGGTACCAAGAGGACAGAACCTGTGACTCTGACATACCTACCATAAGATAAGGAAGAACAAGAGTCAAGAACACGCTGCACCTACCAAAATGACCATGAAACTTGCTCGTGGGTTTTGCGATTTAAATATTTCTGCTATGGACACAGATCTCAAGAAAACTGTGTTGAAGGCATTAAGTATTGGCTACCAGACTATCGCAATCAACAGAGAAGTGACGGATAATTCGACGCCGGATAAAAAACGGAAGAAAGGTAAACGTCTTTTTTTAATTGTAGTAATATGTCTCCTGGAGTTTACCTGGAGAGAGTTCTTGGGGTCAATTCCCCCACGGCCCGGTCTGTGACAAGGCCTCCTGGTGGATCAGAGCCTGATCAACCAGGCTGTTACTGCTGGCTGCACGCAAACCAACGTACGAGCCACAGCCCGGCTGGTCAGGTACCGACTTTTGGTGCTTGTCCAGTGCCAGCTTGAAGACAGCCAGGGGTCTGTTAGTAATCCCCCTTATGTATGCTGGGAGGCAGTTGAACAGTCTTGGGCCCCTGACACTTGTATGGTCTCTTTACGTGCTAGTGACACCCCTGCTTTTCATTGGGGGGATGTTGCATCGTCTGCCAAGTCTTTTGCTTTCATAGTGAGTGATTTTCGTGTGCAAGTTCAGTACTAGTCCCTCTAGGATTCTCCAGGTGTATATAATCATGTATCTCTCCCTCCTGCGTTCCGGGGAATACGGGTTTTTAGGAACCTCAAGCGCTCCCAGTAATTGAGGTGTTTTATTCCGTTATGTTGCCGTAAAGGGTTCTCTGTACATTTTCTAGGTCAGCAATTTCACCTGCCTTAAAAGGTGCTGTTAGTTTTGCAGCAATATTCCAGCCTAGATAGAACAAGTGACCTTAGAGTGTCCATCATGGTTTGGGGCATCCCTAGTTTTGAAGGTTCTCATTATCCATCCTGTCATTTTTCTAGCAGCTGCGATTGATACAATGTTATGGTCCTTGAAGGTGAGATCCTCCGACATGATCACTCCCAGGTTTTTGATTTTTGGTGTTTCGCTCTATTTTGTGGCCAGAATTTGCTTTGTACCTGATGAAGATTTAATTTCCTCGGTTTACCATATCTGAGTAATTGAAATTTCTCATTGTTGAACTTCATATTGTTTTCTGCAGCCCACTGAAAGATTTAGTTGATGTCCGCCTGGAGCCTTCCCAGTGTCTGCAATGGAAGACACTGTCATGCAGATTTGGGTGTCATCTGCAAAGGAAGACAGGGTTGCTGTGGCTGACATCCTTGTCTATGTCAGATATGAGGATGAGGAACAAGATGGGAGCGAGTACTGTGCCTTGTGGAACAGAGCTTTTTCACCGTAGCTGCCTCGGACTTTTACTCTGTTGACTACTACTCTTTGTTTTTCTTTTTTGTGAGGAAATTATAGATCCATCGACCAACTTTTCCTGTTATTCCTTTAGCACGCATTTTGTGCCTTATTACGCCATGGTCACACTTGTCAAAGGGCTTTTGCGAAGTCTGTATATTTTACATCTGCATTCTTTTTGTCTTCTAGTGCATCTAGGACCTTGTCATAGTGATCCAATATTGAGACAGACAGGAGCGACCTGTTCTAAACCATGTTGCCCTGGGTTGTGTAACTGATGGGTTTCTAGATGGGTGGCGATCTTGTTCTTAGACCCTTTCAAAGATTTTTATGATAGGGGATGTTAGTGCTACGGTCTGTAGTTCTTTGCTATTGCTTTACTGCCCCCTTTGCGGAGTGGGCTATGTCTTTTTGTTTTTAGAAACTGTGGGATGACCCCCGTGTCCATGCTCCTCTCCATAGGATGGAAAAGGCTCGTGATAGAGGCTTCTTGCAGTTCTTGATGAACACGGAGTTCTAGGGTCTGGCCCTGGGGCAGAGTCATGGGCATGTCATTATCGCCTGTTCGAAGTCATTTGGCGTCAGGATAACATCGGATAGGCTTGTGTTAACCAAATTCTGTGGCTCTCTCATAAAAAATTCATTTTGATCTTCGACTCTCAGTCTAGTTAGCTGCTTGCTAAAAACTGAGTCATATTGGGACTTGAGTAGCTCACTCATTTCCTTGCTGTCATCTGTGTAGGACCCATTTTGTTTAAGTAGGGGCCCAATACTGGATGTTGTTCTCGACTTTAATTTGGCATAGGAAAAGAAATACTTTGGGTTTCTTTCGATTTCATTTATGGCTTTTAGTTGTTCCTGGGGTTCCTGGCTCCTATAAGATTCCTTTAGCTTAAGTTCGATGCTTGCTATTTCTCTGACCAGTGACTCCCTACGCATTTCAGATATACAGTGGACCCCCGGTTAACGATATTTTTTCACTCCAGAAGTATGTTCAGGTGCCAGTACTGACCGAATTTGTTCCCATAAGGAATATTGAGAAGTAGATTAGTCCATTTCAGAGCCCCAAACATACACGTACAAACGCACTTACATAAATACACTTACATAATTGGTCGCATTCGGAGGTGATCGTTATGCGGGGGTCCACTGTTTTGGCCTCTTTTAGCCGCTCTGTTATTCTTTTCTGTCACCTGTAAAGGGAGCGCCTGTCTCTTTCTATTTTACATCTACTCCTCCTTTTTCTTAGAGGAATAGCCTTGTGCATACATCGAGTGCCACCGAGTTAATCTGTTCTAGGCATAAGTTGGGGTCTGTGTTGCTTAGTCTATCTTCCCAGCTTATATCGGTTAGGACTTGGTTTACTTGGTCCCACTTTAATGTTTTTGTTATTGAAGTTGAATTTGGTGAATGCTCCCTCGTGACTAAATCTCATTATGCCGGTCTGGGGCTCTGCGCATACATGTCTGAACCTCAATTATGTTGTGATCTGAGTATATTGTTTTTGATATGGTGACATTTCGTATCAGATCATCATTGTTAGTGAAGATGAGGTCTAGTGTATTCTCCAGTCTAGTAGGGGGTCTATTATTGCTGGTTTAAATTGAATTTTATGCAGAGATTTAAAAGCTCGTGTGTGTGAGAGTTCTCGTCAGAGCTGCCTCCTGGTGTTATCGCTGCAACAACATTATTTGCTATATTCCTCCATTTTAGGTGCCTTAAGTTGAAATCCCCCAGGAGCAAGATGTTGGGGGCAGGAGCTGGAAGATTTTCCGGACAGTGGTCAATTTTTAACAGCTGTTCCTGGAATTGCTGGGACATTGCATCCGGAGGCTTGTAGACTACCACAATGACTAGGTTTTGGTTCTCGATCTTTACTGCTAAAACTTCCACTACATCATTTGAGGCATTAAGCAGTTCTGTGCACACAAGTGACTCTGCGGTGTACAGGCCAACCCACCTCCCCCCCCCCTTTGCCTGTTCACTCTGTCGCATCTGTATAGGTTGTAACCTTGGATCCATATTTCGTTGTCCAAGTGATCCTTTATGTGGGTCTCAGTGAAAGCTGCGAACATTGCATTTGCCTCTGCAAGCAGTCCACAGATGAAAGGTATTTTGTTGTTTGTTTCTGGCTTTAGACCCTGTATATTTGCAAAGAAGAATGTCATCGGCATTAGTATCTGTATCTGTTGGTTTGGAGTGGAGGCCATCGACTGTGGTTCCACTCCTGGAATGACTGGATTTGGTGTACGATTTCTGCCGTTTCCTGCCAGTTTTTTTTCCTTCCTGGCACTAAAAAACCTCTCCCTCTTGAGTGGCTGTGGCTACCCAGGTATTCTCATGGCCTGGATGTTTTGTATCTTTTTGTCCCCTTTGGATGGTGTGCCTGGCAATTTAAGTTATAGCACAGTCTTTCCTGTACTGAAGAGGTACACATTTCAGGGTGAAAAAGCTTACAGGAAGGGAGTTTGCATTTTCCTGTTGTCATATGGGCACGGCATTTTCTAGGGTGGTCATAGTTGCACGTCCCATCTGTTTTTCCAGATTTCCAATGCCTGCAGATACCAAGTGCATAGTATGTGCACAGGCTTGGTTTCCGTTTGCCTTGGGTTTCTGTGACTGTATTCCCTGTTGGTGCATGTTTACCTGTCTTATTCCTATCCTCACTAGCACCAACAATGGAGCTCCCACCAGTTGTTTTTGGTAATATATCCTCACCATTGCTAGTGGAGTCCTCTTGTTTGCTATTTCCTGTGGTATTACTAGTTTGCAATATTGGTTTTATTGTATAATATATACTGTATTTCATTTCATATTGTTATATCATTATTATTATAATCATGGGTGAGCACTAAACCCATAGGGATTATACAGCGCTTGTAGGGAGGGGGTATGGAAGGTATTCAGGTTTAATTCAGGGAACTGGAGCACAGATTCAATCCCCTAGATGAAGAGCCCTTCACCAGAGTCAAGAAATCTCCCTTGAGGGGATTCCATTTTGTAGAAATACAGTGGTACCCAGATTTTTGTACATAACTCACGAAATCGTAATGACACGATTGCAAACAAACCATACCCCGGCCGGGATTGTACCCGCGGTCAGAGAGTCTCAAAACTCCAGACTGTGGCTAACGCGACGGTCTGGAGTTTTGAGACTCTCTGACTGCGGGTTCAATCCCGGCTGGGGTATGGTTTTGTACATAATTGACTTCAGAAGGCTGTTCGAGTGCTGTTACTGAACGAATTCGTTCCCATAAGGAATAATGTAAATTAGATTAGTCTCTTTCAGACCCCCAAAAATACACTAACTGAAGCACTTACAATAACACACTTGCATAATTATTTGAGTTGGGAGCTGTACGAAACTAGGGGTACCACTGCATAGTTTATTTGTTTGAGTTACGATGAGTGTCAGATAGTTTGCTGCTGTAGATCTCCATGCACACATAAAATAAGTGAGGTACAATGTGCTGTTTGTGGCATTTTGTTGAGATGTTTTGTCCACTTGGGTTTAACCAATTGCATCCTTGGTGGGCCAAACATTTTCTCAAGTGAATAAAATATGTCTCATGTTGTGTCTTATTAACACATTTAAGTGATGCAAGGATAGATTAGAGAGTAATTCATATTCAACTTATGATATTTTCAAGTTACGATGGGTTCGTCAGAACATAACCCCATCGTAAGTCAACGAGCACCTACATAACAATTCATTTTAGAAAGAATTCCTAATTCCAGGAAACTTTCCGATGGTTCCTCCGCCACCCAAGTTCAAGCTATCAGAGGAGGATCTGCGTGAGCACAGCATCACCAGGGAGCCGGTCATACTGACTCGCATCACCGTCACATACTCGGACCCGGGATCCGCATTTCTTTCAAAGTTTCGTGAAGTCATTAAGCAGTATGATATTATAGCCTTCACTCCCACCACTGAAGGAGCCCTCAAACAAGTGAGATTACATTCAAATATACTGTATTTATTTTTTATTTGTTTTTGACATACTATACATTCTTAGCTTTAAAAAATATATCTTCTTATTTTTAGTGCTGTTTATTTTAATTTCATGTGTCCGTTTTGTCACAAGACATTGCAATGCATTTTGAATTATTTTAATTATTAATTTTTTATATGAAAGTTTGGCAACTAATTCATTATATAATATTTTGGTAACTGTTAAACTTTATAATTACAGTCCAATATTTGTATCTTTTTGATGATTATATATACCTAGTATACTGTATCTTTTTGATAATTTTTGATAATTATTAAGGGGCTAGTAACCCCTTCTCCTGTATACATTACTAAAGTTTAAAAGAGAAACTTTTGTTTTTTCTTTTTGGACCACCCTGCCTCAGTGGGATACGGCCAGTTTGTTGAAAGAAGAAAAGTCTCTTTTTTTTTTTTTTTTCAACAAGTTGGCCGTCTCCCACCGAGGCAGGGTGACCCAAAAAAGAAAGAAAATCCCCAAAAAGAAAATACTTTCATCATCATTCAACACTTGCACATTATCACTGTTTTTGCAGAGGTGCTCAGAATACAACAGTTTAGAAGCATATACGTATAAAGATACACAACATATCCCTCCAAACTGCCAATATCCCAAACCCCTCCTTTAAAGTGCAGGCATTGTACTTCCATTTCCAGGCTCAAGTCCGATATATGAAAAATAACCGGTTTTTCCCTGAATCCCTTCACTAAATATTTCCCTGCTCACACTCTAACAGATCGTCAGGTCCCAAGTATCATTCGTCTCCATTCACTCCTATCTAACACACTCATGCAGCTTGCTGGAAGTCCAAGCCCCTCGCCCAAAAAACCTCCTTTACCCCCTCTTTCCAACCCTTTCGAGGACGACCCTACCCCTCCTTCCTTCCCCTATAGATTTATATGCTTTCCATGTCATTCTACTTTGATCCATTCTCTCTAAATGACCAAACCACCTCAACAACCCCTCTTCTGCCCTCTGACTAATACTTTTATTAACTCCACACCTTCTCCTAATTTCCACACTCCGAATTTTCTGCATAATATTTACACCCACACATTGCCCTTAGACAGGACATCTCCACTGCCTCCAACCGTCTCCTCGCTGCTGCATTTACCACCCAAGCTTCACATCCATATAAGAGTGTTGGTACTACTATACTTCATACATTCCCTTCTTTGCCTCCATAGATAACGTTTTTTGACTCCACATATACCTCAACGCACCACTCACCTTTTTTCCCTCATCAATTCTATGATTAACCTCATCCTTCATAAATCCATCCGCCGACACGTCAACTCCCAAGTATCTGAAAACATTCACTTCTTCCATACTCCTCCTCCCCAATTTGATAGGTTGGTAGACAGCAACCACCCAGGGAGGTACTACCGTCCTGCCAAGTGAGTGTAAAACGAAAGCCTGTAATTGTTTTACATGATGGTAGGATTGCTGGTGTCTTTTGTCTGTCTCATAAATATGCAAGATTACAGGCATGTCTTGCTACTTCTACTTACACTTAGGTCACACTACACATACATGCACACGTTTATTTATACACACTCATCTGAGTTTTCTTTGATTTTATCTTAATAGTTCTTGGTCTTATTACTTTTCCTTTTATATCCATGGGGAAGTGGAATAAGAATCTTTCCTCCGTAAGCCATGCGTGTTGTAAAAGTCAACTAAAATGCCGGGAACAATGGGCTAGTAACCCCTTTTCCTGTAAAGATTACTAAAAAGAATAAGAAGAAGAAAAGTATAGTATAATATTACCAATAGACTCCTGGCTGTCTTCAAGAAGGCACGGGACAGGCACCTGAAGTCAGTACCTGACCAACCGGGCTGTGGTTCGTACATCAGGTTGCATGGAGCCAACAGTAACAGCCTGGTTGATCAGGCCCTGATCCCCCATGAGGCCTGGTCACAGACCTGCCTGCGGGGGCATTGACCCCCGAAACCCTCTCCAGGTATATCCCAGGTATAATAATCTTTATTTCTACGTGTACAAGGTATACAAGCGTAGCTGACATAAGTGACATACTACTATATTGAAAGCCCATTGTTATGCAGAGCATTTTGGGCAAAGTAGGTAAATTTTGTCTCCAGGGTGTGACCCACACCAGTCGACTAACTCCTAGGTACATATTTTAATCGTAGGTGAACTAGGACAGAAGGTGTCTTAAGGAAACACGTCCTAATTTTTCTACCTGTACCGGGGATCCAACCATGGACCTCAGTGTGGTAGTTGAGTGCGCTACCAATCGAGTTACAGGACACCGTGCTGTATCTTAAAGCAAACTGTCTTTTTACATAATTACATGCAATATGCTGTATCTTGTACTGTATCTTCTAACATAATTACCTGCAGTGTGCTGTATCTTTCGATAATAATACTCTCATTTTTCAGACTGTTTCCCAAACACTTGTTGATGTTGACATTATTTCTCTGAATATTGATGAAGGTGGCACTCGCTTCGCCCGCAAGTTACTGTGCTTGGCCGTTGAACGTGATATATATTTTGAAGTAAGTTACATTTTCAGGTTTTCATTTTGGCAGTAAATCCACAAGGGTCATCCAGCAGTGCAGATAAGGGCGTGCTAAAGATGTAATATGCCTGATCAGAGACCAGCAAGGGTGAAGAGTATGCCAAAGGGAGAGTTAGTAAGGGCAGTGAGGGGTGCTAAAGGGAAATATATCATTTGGCATTTTATTATTATTATTATTATTATTCTTTGTGGGGAAACACCTGGGGATTTGGGGTTAACTAGGTTTAATCTAAGGATGGGAAGGATAGCTTTATTTCTTGGATAAAAATCCCTGTACTGGTACCAGTGCACCTCTCATGAAAATATTTTAAGTAATGTGTGTACTGTACATGCATTTTTTAGGCCTAGCTCTGCTACTGCTGTGAAGTTAAAAGCACTGTGAAGCGAAACATAACCTTTTACAGCAGTAACATAACCTTTTACAGCAGTAACATAACCTTTTACAGCAGTAACATAACCTTTTACAGCAGTAACATAACCTTTTACAGCAGTAACATAACCTTTTACTTCACAGCAGTAACTCGGAACCTAACCTGCTGCATGAGTGGGGCCTTCCTGTACTGTAGTCTGATTTTACAGAACATGAGACCAAAATGCCTTGGATTCTTTTGTAAATTCTCGGTATTGATGCCTTTCAAGGGTGTGAAGCTTTGATGCTGGTGAGTAGCTCTTGATCCAAGGAACTGACACTGTCCCCCATTATTTGTATGAAACCTTATTTCTCCCCTAACCCTGCTCCTTATTACCAGGTGCTATATGACCCCAGTGGGTTTGTCACCTCACTGTAAATATAAGAATAAACCTATAGTATAATGAACTAATAAGAAAGATTGTCCTGGTGACTGTTTAACCCTTTGACTGTCGCGGCCGTATATATACGTCTTACGTCCTGGTGTCGCAAAATTTCAAAAAAAAAAAAAATATATTTTTTCTTATGAAATGATAGAGAATCTTTTCCCGGTTGTAATGACACCAAAAAAAAACGAAATTTGATGGAAAACTGACGGAATTATGCTCTCGCGAAGTCAGCGACCTCGGCGCCGTTTACAAATCGGCGATTTCGCCCGCTTTGAGCCCTATTTTTGGCTAATTCCATTGTTCCAGTCACCCAAACTCATAGCTATTTCTTTAGAACTCCATTTTTTCTATCGATTGAGTACAAGAAACTGCCCATTTACCGATTTCAACTACCTAATAATGTGGTCAGAAATTTGCAATTTGGCCAATTTCACGAAAACTAAAAATATGACAATTTCAAAATAAGGTCCAGAATGAACAATGCAGACATTCCCAGCTCTAAAATAACATTTTCTTTGCTCATCAGTCGTGTTTCCAGGCCCCTCTGATATTACTCTTGCTTTCTATTTTGAATTTTTATTCAAACAAAAAATTGAAGACTTACTATTATGCAGACTACTGCAATACTGTAATAATTGTATAAATAACATCAACCCATTCATGACTGCATATTAGAATGGCTAGTTGGACATTTACTGGAAAATGGCATCATTTGCTTACTTTTGAACATTGGCAAAAATCAAACATTTCCCCTACTTTGAGCTCCATTTCTAGGTTCTTTTTATAGTAAAATCAATCAAAATCATCTCTATTTCTATAATATGTCTTCCATTCTATCAAATGAGACCAACAAAACGAGAATACAACCATAAATACTATACGAAAATAGACCACAAAGTCGGCATTTTAATTAAAAAAAACGGTCGGAGTTTTTTTTTCTCATTATGCACTGCGTGCTCCAGGATTTTTTTTTATATGGTGCACACTGACCACACAGACCCATTCTCTCACATGTAGGCCTACCAGCTTTCTCCTGCTTGATTTGAAGTCGCTAGAATTTATGAGTATATATACGTCAAACACGGTACCTCGTAAGACGTATATATACGGCCGCGACAGTCAAAGGGTTAATCATAATGTTAAAAAAAATAGCAAAAAATGCCCTAAAGTACAGTGGACCCTCGACTAACGCTATTAATCCGCTCCTGAGAGCTCATCGTTAGTCAAGTTAATTTTCCCCATAAGAAATAATGGAAATCAAATTAATCCGTGCAGGACACCCCAAAGTATGAAAAAAAAATTGTTTTTACCACATGAAATATTAATTTTAATACACACAAACTGAAGAAGACATGCACAGTTACATGATACTTACCTTTATTGAAGATCTGGTGATGATTGATGGGATGGGAGGGGAGTGTGTTGATGGTCTTAGTGTTTAGAAGGGGAATCCCTTTCCATTAAGACTTGTGATAATATGAAATGTTCCGATTGTATGTTTGGATGGGACCGTGGTGGCTGGCTGGCTTGTAAACACTGGCACCCACGGGACAAGTGAGGCACTCTCAGGCCAAAGTGGACGCGTCTCGAACGGAACGAATAGCGTTGGTCAGGTTTTTTTAGCGCTAGTCGAGGCAAATTTTTTGCGTTAAAATGTATCGCTAGTCAGATTTAACGTTAGACGATGCCAACGTTGGTCGAGAGTCCACTGTACTCTGTACCTTATTTACAGATATATTGCAATTAACATTGAAAATAAAGGGATTAAGTGTTTGAAAATAAAGTGATTAAATGTATGAAAATAAAGAAGTTAAGTGTATTATTTATCCAGTAGATTTTGTCAATTATTTCACATGCCCAAGAAATTTAGTTTGTAAATGTTTCTATGTATTGACAGCTGAGTTATGGGCCATGCATCAGGAGCTCTTGCAGTCGGCAACAGACCATCACTCTATCCCACATCCTGCATCAGTGTTCAAGATCGGCCAACATCATCGTGACGAGTCGAGCCAGGACTCCCAGAGATCTCAGGCACCCGTATGACGTCATGAATCTCGGAAGATTCTTTGGACTGACTGAAGCTGCTGCTAGAGGGGCCATTGCCTCCCAAGCTCATAATGTAGTGTATTGTGCTGCTGCTCGTCGCAAGGGGGCAGCAAAATGTGTTGCTCAGGTTACTTTATTGGAGACATCAAACTCAAGGGTCAAATACGAAGGATTAGACAATGCCAGAAAATATTTGAAAACAGATGTTGAAGTAATAGATTCAACAGATTAATATTTTTGTGCTCCAACATTATACGTATTCTTTTCACTGCAAATGCCTTGAAGCCAGTGAGATGCTCTTTGCCTAAGGAAGTGGACTTGTCCTTCCCTTTCTGGCATCAAACCTGATTGCCTCCCATTTCCCAGGAGTATGTAGCCCCTATGGGTTTATCATTTCCACCAGGAATAGTATTTAGTGGGGGCAGAAATAAAAATCATAGGGGACATACTACAGCACCTTGGGAATGAGAAACAATTGGGTTTGACAATATTATTATTATAATTAAAGCTAAACGCTTGACCCACAAGGGTCATACAGTACTGTCGGTTTTAATAGAAGGGAAGGTAAAGTTCAATTCCTTGGATCGAGAGCCCTTCACCATTATGAAGGAACCTTCTTTGAGGGAAAGGCACACTTAGAAGGAAGTTTTGCCTTGAACCCGTAAACGGTCCAAGCAGATCTACGTTTACATGTGTTACGCTACAAAAGTAGATATAAGTTTTTTTTTTTTTACATTTTCAAATACTGTATAACAAAAAAAAAAAGTAGATCAAAGTTTTTTACACATTTTCAAATGTAGATAAACTTTTTTGTTTTTCTACATTTGAAAATGTGTAAAAAAACTTTGATCTACTTTTTTTACATACTTTCAAATGTTGAAAAAACGTACATATACGTTTGGACCGTTTACGGGTTAAACGGCACAAGTGAGATTGTATAAATCTCAATATTATTGATGGTAAACAATTGTTGAATTGATGAGTTAGATGTGAAACACTTTAGATTATTATAATAATAATCAAAAAGAAGTGCTGGAAACACTTTAGAATCTGTCAAAATGTTCTGCTTGCACCATAGGCTGTTTCAATTGATTACAGGTGAAAACCCTGGAAACAGTAAAGGTAATTACGAAGTGGTCAGTCCCTCGGCCTACAGCAGAAGCATGTGAGCTAATATATTAGGTCTGACCCTTCTAGGAAGGTTCCTTGACACTGGTGAAGGGCTCTTGATCTAGAGAATTGGATCTTTGCTCCAGTTCCCTGAATTGGGTCTGAATACCTTCCATCCCCCCACAGGCCCTGTATAATCCTATGGGTTTAGCACTTCCCCATGATTATAATAATAATGTCTGACCACATGCCTCTGCTTTAGGCTGAAGGACTGATAACCTCATAATTCTTTCTACTGTTTTCACCTGTATTTGACTGAAGAAATACCTATTGGCAATTACAATATCAAAACTAAGCACTAATCCCACAAGGGTCATACAGTGCTGTGACAATAAATGTTGCTCGTTTTAGTCCTCGGATCAACGTCTTCAATCTTAAACCCAAATGGATTATGTTACTATGCAAATACAAATATATATAATGTTTACTAGACTTATGAAATACCTGTAAATTGGGGGGAGAGACCACTGACAGGTTCCTTGAATTATCAAAAATTGCTAAACCCACCAAGGTCTCTGTGCTGCTGTTTGAGAAACTAGACTGGTGCTCCCCTTCTTATAATCATGTGAAGCACTAAACAAATAGGTCCCATTCCTTGGACAACTTGAATACTTCCCATTTTCCCAGGAACTGTATGACAGGTTTGGTCCCCTTCCCTTCCATGTCAAGGAGGAGAGAAGTATTAAACCTGTATAGATCATCACCTGAGGTCACCTCAAGGGAGGTTCCTTGATGCTCCTATGGCAGGACATGTATAAGTCACCTTGGTGGGTGACAGCCAGTACTAAACCCATAAAGGTCATACAGCAATGATTATTATAATTACACGTAAATGCTAAGCCCACAGGGATCATAACGTACTAAAGTATCTACCTAGACTAGGATAGCTCGAATCACTTAGACCAAGGAACCTCCATTATAAAAGAAGCACTAAACCTACAACGAAGAACCTCCTTTGAATAAATAAAGAATGCATTTATCCTATTACATTATCAGACTAAAAAGTGAATTCAAAATATTTAATAGACAAATCACAGCTAAATGGTATGCACTCTGGAGGGGCGAGATGTTGGTCTTAGAACTGTGGTATCAGACTATGGAGCAAATAATACGAAAGTGTTTTGGGTCACCCTGCCCAGGTGGGAAATGGCAAACGTGTCTATCCATTTCCTAAAAGGTTCATAATTATTTCATCTGGATACATATATACACATTGAAGCTTTTTTTTTTTTTATTTATTTAAGGTTACATTTCACTCTGCATCTTCTTTGCTCTTCAGAGCTTCTGCCTTCCTTATGGCAACCCTTTCTTGCCTGCGCTTACGGGCCTCCTTGGCCTTAGATCTGCGAGCCTCTGCCTGGTCACTCAGCATCTTAGCACGGGCATTGTCAGCCTTCTTCTTGTGGATGTATTCCATCAGCACGCGCTTATTCTTGAAAACATTACCCTTCACCTGAAATATAATTTATTTTATCAAAATATATTCAAACAAAATGCCTAATAGAATTACTATTATTATTTTTATTTTTTATCACACTGGCCGATTCCCACCAAGGCAGGGTGGCCCGAAAAAGAAAAACTTTCACCATCATTCACTCCATCACTGTCTTGCCAGAAGGGTGCTTTACACTACAGTTTTTAAACTGCAACATTAACACCTGTCCTTCAGAGTGCAGGCACTGTACTAATAGAATTACACATCTGCAAATCATTTACATTAACTAAAAGTCTCAGTCACAGTAATTACAAATATTGGGTATTTGGAATTAACATGCTCTGATTTTACCACTTCCAACATCAACAATATAAATTATTATATCAAGAGTATGTAATAAGTATGGAAGAAGTGAATGTTTTCAGATACTTGGGAGTTGACGTGTCGGCGGATGGATTTATGAAGGATGAGGTTAATCATAGAATTGATGAGGGAAAAAAGGTGAGTGGTGCGTTGAGGTATATGTGGAGTCAAAAAACGTTATCTATGGAGGCAAAGAAGGGAATGTATGAAAGTATAGTAGTACCAACACTCTTATATGGATGTGAAGCTTGGGTGGTAAATGCAGCAGCGAGGGGGACGGTTGGAGGCAGTGGAGATGTCCTGTCTAAGGGCAATGTGTGGTGTAAATATTATGCAGAAAATTCGGAGTGTGGAAATTAGGAGAAGGTGTGGAGTTAATAAAAGCATTAGTCAGAGGGCAGAAGAGGGGTTGTTGAGGTGGTTTGGTCATTTAGAGAGAATGGATCAAAGTAGAATGACATGGAAAGCATATAAATCTATAGGGGAAGGAAAGAGGGGTAGGGTCGTCCTCGAAAGGGTTGGAAAGAGGGGGTAAAGGAGGTTTTGTGGGTGAGGGCTTGGACTTCCAGCAAGCGTGCGTGAGCGTGTTAGATAGGAGTGAATGGAGACGAATGATACTTGGGACCTGACGATCTGTTGGAGTGTGAGCAGGTAATATTTAGTGAAGGGATTCAGGGAAACCGGTTATTTTCATATAGTCGGACTTGAGTCCCTGGAAATGGGAAGTACAATGCCTGCACTTTAAAGGAGGGGTTTGGGATATTGGCAGTTTGGAGGGATATGTTGTGTATCTCTATACATATATGCTTCTAGACTGTTTGTATTCTGAGCACCTCTGCAAAAGCAGTGATAATGTGTGAGTGTGGTGAAAGTGTTGAATGATGATGAAAGTATTTTCTTTTTGGGGATTTTCTTTCTTTTTTTTTTTGGGTCACCCTGCCTCGGTGGGAGACGGCCGACTTGTTGAGAGAAAAAAAAAAAAAAAAAAAAAAAAAAATGTAATAAGTTGATAAAAGACATGCAGCACCTGGGTAAATTAACCTCAGAGACCCGAGACCCTACACCCACATGTCTCTGAACATACCCAGGTGTTTCACATGTCTTATCAATATCTGCCTATATACTTTAGATGTCTTGGTCCATCTGGAGGGTCTAATACAGAATTGGACATTTCAAATGAAAATGCTCAGCAAAGAATAATATTCATGAAAAGCGTTTAATCCTTTTCAGCCACACAGAACCCAAGGAACGGAAAATAATCATGTCTGATCCAAGGAATGGAGTGGGTGGTTATGATTCTTTAACCCTTTCAGGGTTACTGACGTATTAGTATGGCTTGCGCACCAGAGTTATTGACGTACTAGAACGCCTAAATTCTAGCGCCTTCAAATCTAGTGAGACAAAGCTGGTAGGGGTACATATGAAAGAATGAGTATGTGGTCAGTGTGCGCAGTATAAAAAAAATCCTGCAGCACACAGTGAGTAATAAGAACGTAAGAACATAAGAAGGAAAACTGCAACAGGCCTACTGACCCATGCAGAGCAGGTCCATGTCACCCCCGGATTAGACCAATGACCCACCCAGTCTGGTCATCTCCACTCAAGGATGGAGCACTGCTCCAGACCCAGCAGCACAATCTAGTCAGGTCCAACTCACACCCACCCATGTATTTATCTAACCTATTTTTAAAACTACACAACGTTTTAGCCTCAATAACTGTACTCGGGAGTTTGTTCCACTCATCCACAACTCTATTACCAAACCAGTGCTTTCCTATATCCTTCCTGAATCTGAAATTTTCCAACTTGAAACCATTGCTGCAAGTCCTGTCTTGGCTGGAAATTTTCAGCACGCTATTTACATCCCCTTTATTTATTCCTGTTTTCCATTTATACACCTCGATCATATCCCCCCTAATTCTACGCCTTTCGAGAGAGTGCAGATTCAGGGCCTCAGTCTATCCTCACAGGGAAGATTTCTGATACATGTGATCATCTTTGTCATCCTCCTTTGTATGTTTTCCAGAGCATTTATATCCATTCTGTAATAGTGACCAGAACTGAGCAGCATAGTCTAAATGAGGTCTAACCAAGGATATACTGTATAGAGTTGAAGAACAACCTGAGGACTTCTATTATTTATACTTCTAGATATGAAGCCAAGAATTTTGTTTGCTTTATTGTGAACACTAATGCACTGTTGTCTTGGTTTTAGATTACTGCTAACCAGAACTCCTAAATCCTTTTCGCAATCAGTGGTATTAAGATCTACATTATTTAGTTTATATGTGTCATGGTTATTTAACTGTCCAACATTTAGAACTTTGCATTTGTCAATATTAAACTGCATCAGCCACTTCTCCGATCATTGCATCAGTCTATTCAAATCTTCCTGGAGTGCTTTAGTGTCCTCATTAGAATGAATTGGACGGCCTATTTTGGTGTCCTCAGCAAATTTGCTCATGTCGCTATTTATTCCCTCATCTATGTCGTTTATGTAAATTGTGAACAACAACGGGCCCAACACTGACCCCTGAGGAATACCGCTTCTGATTTCTCCCCATTTATGCAAACTCTCTGCTGTCTATTTGTCAGCCATGCCTCTACCCAGGAAAAAATTTCTCCTATTCCGTGTGCCTTAAGTTTCCTCAATAGCCTCTGGTGTGGAACTCTATCGAAAGCCTTACTGAAGTCCATATACACTATCATATTCATTACCATGATCTACCTCCTCAAACACTTTAGTGAAAAAGTTAGTAAATTCGTAAAACAGGAACGCCCCTTTGTAAAACTGTGTTGAGATTCATTAATCAATCTGTGCCTGTGAAGACGGCTACGAATTGCTTCGGCAATTATTGATTCCATAAATTTTCCCACTATGGAGGTAAGGCTTATTGGTCTATAGTTTGAAGCCGAGGACCTGTTATCTGCCTTGTAAATAGGTATTACATTTGCCATTTTCCACTTAATCAGGCACTATGCCAGTTTGTAGTGATATATTAAAAAGATTAGCCAAAGGTATGCTAAGTTCCTCTTTACATTCGTTTAACACCCTTGCAAACAGTTCATCAGGGCCTGGGGATTTGTTAGGTTTTAGTTTCTCTATTTGTCTGAGGACCATGTCACTAGTTACCGCAATCATACATAGTTTATCATCATCCTGTTCTACATAATCTATTATTTCAGGAATTTATTTTATTATCACACTGGCCGATTCCCACCAAGGCAGGGTGGCCAGAAAAAGAAAAACTTTCACCATCATTCACTCCATCACTGTCTTGCCAGAAGGGTGCTTTACACTACAGTTTTTAAACTGCAACATTAACACCCCTCCTTCAGAGTGCAGGCACTGTACTTCCCATCTCCAGGACTCAAGTCCGGCCTGCCGGTTTCCCTGAACCCCTTCATAAATGTTACTTTGCTCACACTCCAACAGCACGTCAAGTATTAAAAACCATTTGTCTCCATTCACTCCTATCAAACACGCTCACGCATGCCTGCTGGAAGTCCAAGCCCCTTGCACACAAAACCTCCTTTACCCCCTCCCTCCAACCTTTCCTAGGCCGACCCCTACCCCGCCTTCCTTCCACTACAGACTGATACACTCTTGAAGCTATTCTGTTTCGCTCCATTCTCTCCACATGTCCGAACCACCTCAACAACCCTTCCTCAGCCCTCTGGACAACAGTTTTGGTAATCCCGCACCTCCTCCTAACTTCCAAACTACGAATTCTCTGCATTATATTCACACCACACATTGCTCTCAGACATGACATCTCCACTGCCTCCAGCCTTCCCCTCGCTGCAACATTCATCACCCATGCTTCACACCCATATAAGAGCGTTAGTAAAACTATACTCTCATACATTCCCCTCTTTGCCTCCAAGGACAAAGTTCTGTCTCAACAGACTCCTAAGTGCACCACTCACCCTTTTCCCCTTATCAATTCTATGATTCACCTCATCTTTCATAGACCCATCCGCTGACACGTCCACTCCCAAATATCTGAATACATTCACCTCCTCCATACTCTCTCCCTTCAATCTGATATCCAATCTTTCATCACCTAATCTTTTTGTTATCCTCATAACCTTACTCTTTCCTGTATTCACTTTCAATTTTCTTCTTTTGCACACCCTAACAAATTCATCCACCAATCTCTGCAACTTCTCTTCAGAATCTCCCAAGAGCAGTGTCATCAGCAAAGAGCAACTGTGACAACTCCCACTTTATGTGTGATTCTTTATCTTTTAACTCCACGCCTCTTGCCAAGACCCTCGCATTTACTTCTCTTACAACCCCATCTATAAATATATTAAACAACCACGGTGACATCACACATCCTTGTCTAAGGCCTACTTTTACTGGGAAATAATTTCAGGAATATCGCTAGTATTTTCCTGGGTGAAAACTGAGAGGAAGCAGGTATTTAGAATTTCACACACATCCTTATCACTGTCAGTGATCTGACCAGAGTTACTCTTAAGTGGGCCAATCTTGTCCCTAATCTTACTTCTGTATACCTGAAAGAACCCTTTTGGTTAGTCTTTGAATCCCTTGCGACCTTAGCCTCATAATCCCTTTTTGCTTTTCTTATTCCTTTCTTTAATTGAATATATTGATTTCTTAACTGCCCATCCCCTCTTGTGCTATGCCTATACGTATATTCCTCTCTTTTGACCAATGAGATGTTTTAATCTATTGTTCATCCATTTGGGATCATTTTTGTTAGATCTTATTTCCCTACTCGGAACAAAAGTTGTCTGGGCAGCTAGAACTATGCTCTGAAAAACGTCATATTGGCAACCAAGATCACCTACCTGACCCATAGTCAGGACATCCCAATTTAGCCCACCCAGGTAATTTTTCAGTCCCATGAAGTCGGCCAAGCGAAAATCTGGGACAGAGATTTGATTGCAGTTATCTGGGTAATTCCATGATATATTGAAACTAAGTGATTTGTGATCACTTTCCCCAAGCTCATCATTAACCTCAAGATTTTTAATTAGTGAATCTTTGTTGGCAAGAACCAAGTCAAGCAGACTGTTTCCTCTAGTTGGTTCTGTCACAACCTGTTCTAAAAAGCAATCCTGAACCATATCAAGAAAGTCACTAGACTCAAGATTTCCTGTCATATTGTTCCAATCAATTTGTCTAAAGTTAAAATCTCCCATTATCACAACATTTTCATATCTAGATGCCTTATGAATTTCGTCCCATAACAGCTTACTGCCCTCCCTATCAAGGTTTGGGGGCCTATAAATCACACCCAAAATTAATTTGTCACGTCCCTCGAGAAACTGTAGCCAAACAGATTCTGTGTTCAATGTTTCTAATCTTATATCATGTCTAAGACAACAATTTAAATTTTCTCGGACATACATCGCCACACCACCACCCTTCCTGTTGACCCTATCAGTGTGGAATAGTTTATAACCCTGTATGTTGCATTCAGAGGTCATTTCTCTATCTTTCAGGTTGAACCAGGTCTCTGTTATACCAATAATATCTATATTACCTACACTTGCAAGTAATCTTAGCTCATTATTTTATTTCTTAGACTCCTACTATTTGTATAGTAAACCTTAAGGGAGCTAGTCACTCGTTGCCCTCTACTATCTCTCTCTCTTTGTTGATCAACTGATTTGCCATTACTAGCAACTTTATTTTGAATATTGTCTTTTAAACATATCCCTGAGTATCCCGGTAATAACTGCTGTTTTTAACCCTAATGCTGCAGCCTAATTGTTTCCCACAAACACCCATACCTCTATAATCTATCAGTTTAAATTCCTAAACAAGTCATCACTTACCCTCTCAATTGAATTGGCTAATGCAACCACTCCATCCCCAGAGAGATGAACCCCATCCCTTGCATACATATCACGTTTGCCAAAGAATAGGTCCCAGTTATCAATGAATGGGATTGCAAGTTCCTTGCAGTACCTGTCTAGCCAGCAATTTATACCAATTGCTCCAAGACACTCGTCTTGGAGAACAGAGAAACGATTTCCTACCTTCACATCTTCTCTATTAACTCTCCTCATCTTCCTTCTTCCTGAACTGTGAACCACTTGCCACTTAAAGCGGCTGCCACTATCACTGCTGGTGACCATTCCTTCCTTACCAGCTAAATCCTTCTCACACTCGCTCCCAAACTCATCTATGCAAAGCTTCAGCCTATTTTCCTCCTGAAGGAGTAGAATCTCCTTCAACACTTGAACCTGAGATTCTAAAACACTACAACAAGCCATGGTGCTTGGTAACAGCCCATGCTAACTCCCAAGAGCTTAGGCAGGTAATGAGAAAAAAAAACTTTGACCGTCTTTTGGGACTAAAACAGCGACTTTGCACAGTATTTTCGTATGGTATTTATGGTTGTATTCTAGTTTTCCTGGTCTCATTTTATAGAATGGAAGACATATTACAGAAATTGAGATGAGTTTGATTGGTTTCACAATGAAAAGTACCTTGAAACTGACCTCAAAGTAACAGAAATGTTCGATTTTTACCAAAGTTCAAAAGCAAACAAATCATGCCAGGCGTCCAATACATGTCAACTGGTGAGTCTGATATTCTTTCACAAGTGTGCTGATATTATTTATACCATTTCTACACTAATGCAGTAGTCTGCATAACAGTGAATCTTCTATTTTTTTGTAAGAATAAAAATTCAAAGTGGAAAGAAAAAGAAATATAAGAGGGGCCTTGAGACGTGACTAATGAACAGAGGAAATGTTATTTTAGTGCCAGGAATGTCTTTCTTGTTTATTCTGAACCCTATTTGGAAATTGGCATCTTCTGAAATTTGTGTGAAATTGGCAAAATTGCCAATTTCTAACCACTTTATTGGATAGTTAAAATTGGTAAATGGGTGGTTTCTTGTACTCATTCAATAGAAAAAATAGTTCTAGCAAAATAAACATGATTTTTGTCGACTAGTACACAGGAATTGGCCGAAAATAGGGCTCAAAGTGGGCGAAATCGCCGATGCATAAACATCGATGAGACAGCTAACTTCATGAGAGCATAATTCAGCAAGTTTTCCATCAAATTTCATACTTTCGGTGTCATTATGATCGGGAAAAGATTCTCTAGCATTTCATAAGAAAAAATAATTTATTTTTCCCGAAAAATTTTCAACCCTGAGAACAAGTTTAGGAGAGGGCCTCTCGACCCTGAAAGGGTTAAATCATGAACCCTTCATCATCATCGAGGAACCTCAACAAAAAGGCTTAGGAAAGAAAGTATCCTGGCCAGACTGAATATTTGCCCAGGTAAGTTAAAAAAAAATAAAAACTTTTACTATCATTCTCACTACCACTGTCTTGCTGAAGGACACACAGATACGACAGTTTAGATGGCCCTCTACAGCAAGTATCCCAAACCCCTCCTTTAGTGCAGGCACTGTACTTCCCACCTCTTTGTTACCAATACTTTGTACTGAAGTAGAGGAAATCTAGTACCTGCACTCTGAAGGACCAGTGGTCATGTTGCAGTCGTGGAGGTGGGAAGCAGAATGCCTACACCACGATAACGGGATGAGGATGTAGCAGTTTTAAGGGTCATTTGAACTGTTATGTCTGCACACTTCTGGCAAAACAGCTATTGAATAAATGATAGTGAATGTGTTTCATTTTTTTAACACAGTGGCCATTTCCTGAGGCAGGGTGAACAGAAAAAGAAGAAATACTCATCCCTCACTCACTCCACCACTGTCTTACCAGAGGCATGCCAATACTACAGTTCAAAAACTGCAACATATCTCCACCCCTCCTTCAGAGTGCAGGCACTATACTTCCCACCTCCAGAACTCAAGTGCAGTCATATTCCCCTATAATTCTTATTTTTTTCCTTCCTCCTCTATACTCTCCACCAATACTGAAACACTTTCCCTTTCATTCACAAAGTCACCATACCCTGATAGGGGTCAAAAATCACCAACCAATGGTTAGTAACATGTCTTAGGTCACAATTGGAACATGTGAATGCTGTTTGGTATCAACACCTATAAAAAACATGTGGATTGTGTAGAAAAAATTCATCCAGTAGGAAAATGGATTCCGAAGCTAAAGATACAAATTACAATGAAAAGCTGAAAACCCAAAATGTGCTTACAGTGGGGACTGAAGTCAAAGCAAATATAGGAAAATATTTTAGGCACATAGGATATAGAAAAAAAAATTCTTTGAATATTTTCAATAGGGGTAACAAGAAACCTCAGATGTAAACTAAGGAAAAATGGAGGGTAAAGTAGTGTGAAATTTTTCTTTACAAACTGTGGAATGGAAAAAATGGGAGGCATAAACTGTTTAATCATTAAAAGAATTTATACGATGAACACAAGGCTATATACCACAAGCGCAGATATACCTTCACCTTTGATGAGCTCTAAGAGTTTTCTACTCCCAGAGCCCAGCCATGAGCCAAGATAGTTTGGTGCTAGTCTGGTCAACCAGGCTGTTGCTGCTGGTGGTCCACTACCCCACATATACATCAGTCTGGCTGAACTGCAGCTATGCTCCTATAGCTACAATTAAGTAATTATAATATTACCCCAAAGACTTAACTAATTTTGAAAACTTACCTTCATGTACAAGTCATGATACAGATGTTTGTCAATCTTCTTGTTGTCACGGTACTTTTTGAGCATGCGACGAAGGACACGCATCCGACGAATCCATAGGATCTAAACGATAAAAAATCGCGTTATAAAAGATTAATAGTCCTTGCACTAGAATGTAGACATTATTAATGTTATCAGCAGTGATGAAAGGATCAGTAAAAAAATTGTCAAATGAACTTCACCAAGCAAACCACAGTAATTTAAGTTAGATCGATACTGGTGATTTAAGACTAACTTGTTCTGAATCAGAAACTGCGATGCTCAACCGGTGAAAATAATACAGATGACTGATAATGGATGTAGAGCCATGAGAAAATATAGATGGTCAAGATGTAGATTTTTGAGAACACAGATGGCCGAGATGCAATTTCCAAGAGCCACGTTTTCTCTTACTACCACCACCACCACTTGCTTTAGAAGCCATTAAATACACTAATTACAATGTTAATAAAGTCTCACAAAATGCTCTAAATCCAGGAAAAACTAGAGACTGAATGACAGGTGTACATGCAAGTGAACGCAAAATGGTGAGGGCGGCCTGCAACCCAGAACAATGAAAATGGATAGGGGTTTGGGATATTGGCAGTTTGGAGGGATATGTTGTGTATCTTTATGTGTGTATGCTTCTAGACTGTTGTATTCTGAGCACCTCTGCAAAAACAGTGATAATGTGCGAGTGTGGTGAAAGTATTTTCTTTTTGGGGATTTTCTTTCTTTTTTTTGGGTCACCCTGCCTCGGTGGGAGACGGCCGACTTGTTGGGGGGAAAAAAAAAAAAAAAAAAAAAAAAAAAAGGTCCCGGATGTAGCCACTTCGGCCCATACTGGACATACACTGGAGTTATAATGTACTTGGCCTGATAAATCAGAACTGGACAGTATTGCTATGGACAAAGAGTGGAATTATGAACTAGAATTTACTTTGTCCAGTCAATTTTTTGTCTGAAATTGCTGAAATACGTTAACAGAGAGATTTTGCTGTACCTATTTTTAACTGCCCAAATTAAACTACTGTTGTTCATTCAAAGGATTACATACTTAATTCCAAGCATTTACCCATTCTACAAAACTAAGCCACACTGTATATAATTTCCAATTTAGTTATGCCTCCTAAGCAGGTTGCTCACTGTGCACACGCAGCTCACTCTGCAAGTGGTAGTGTAAAAAACAGGATTAGAAGTCACAATGGGTCTATCAAACCCCACTAGGCACTGTTACTTCACTAGAAAGAAATACACCTACCATCCGACTTATGACCGAGTTTGGTTTCAAGAAACTGGTCGTAAGTCGAAATGGACGTAAGTTGTTTATTACTATTGAATATCAACATCATATTTTTTTAATGACTATTTTATTGTTTTATTTTGGTATTTCATGTTTTACTTTACTTTTTATGTTGTTAGTACTGTGTTTTATACTGTAAAGTTTAGGATAAACACTGTACAACACAAATACTTGTTTATTTCTCAGAAATGTGGCATAAAAAACACGGTCGTAAGTCGAGTGGTTGTAAGTCGGATGGTAGGTGTACTAGTGATCATATTTTAGTTACTCCATGTTGTTAATGTGAACAGTACAGTATGGAATACAATCTAAAAAAAATTTTTTTTTAACATGTCTGCCATCTCCCACAGAAACAATGTGACCCATAAAAGAAACACTTTCACAATCATTCAACGCTTTCACCATCATTCACCATCTTTGCAGAGGCGCCCAGATATGACAGTTTAGATGTCACTCAAAACAGCCAATATCCCAAACCCTTCCTTCAAAATGCAGGCAGTGTACTTCTCATTACTTAAATCTTATCACCACTAAAGACATTGGTCATAATTAAGATGCAATCTCTCTAAAAATCAGCGTATTCATTTTAGTGTTTTTCCAGGAATGCCACCATTGCTTTTAATATTAGTAAGGTATCTCTGCTATACCAAACTTTACTAATATAAACATCCTTACAGCCTCAATCCTAACAAGTTAGGATTTTATCTAGAAATGACATCATAGTAACAAAATTTGATGCTGGAATTTTTCTAAAGTTATCTTGTCCTATGAGCAAAACAACACACATATTCCCTTTTAATATCGCTCCCTGAAGCATTCACTACAAGCTATGAGAAGCTTAGCAGTGCCAAGAAAAGGAGGATTTGGGTTATTAAAATCTTCTTCTACTGTTCATAATACACAAATAACCCACAAACAGTTTATGATGATATTTAAGCCGGACCAAAACAACATAAGCTTCTCTCCCTATGTGCAGTTATTTGTGTATTGTTCCAGTCAAAGTATTATGCCTTTTTGCTCTTCTCTACTACTGTTTTTTCAAAATCATTCATATTAAATAATTCTTACCTTCTGAGGCATACGAGCATTGGCAGTACCCTTTCTTTTACCATAGCCCATATGCCTGCCCTTTCTGCGAGCTGCTTGTGTTTTGCGGACACGGGCACGAGAGTGTACATTATGGGGCTTCTTGATAATCAAGCCATCCTTAATCAACTTCCGAATATTTTGTCCTGCAACAGTTGATAATTCATTTAATAAGAAATTTAATAAAAAAGGCATATAAAGACTAACCAACATAACCGTAGAGTTTGATGCTGGCCTCTACGATTTTCTGTTCTGCTAGTTATGGTTCTAGTACTTCCCCAGGCCTTGGTCTCAGACCAGGTCCCCTAGGTTATTAAGGAAATATTTATGTACAGGATTAAGAACTACTGAAAAGCATACAGAAAAGTAAAGGTATGTATATATTGATTGTAAACAGAATATACCTTTGATATATTGCACCTTCGAAGAGTGAATATCAAAATGGTATACAACACCGACAGGTTGGTAGGTAAGACACATTGGCAACATTTAGGCAACTTTATTCCGAAACGTTTCGCCTACACAGTAGGCTTCATCAGTTGAGTACAGAAAGTAGGCAGGAACAGTAGAAGATGTGAAGACGATGTAATCAGTCCACCCTTAAAGTTGTAGATTTGAGGTTGTCAGTCCCTCAGCCTGGAGAAGTTCTGTTCCAAAGTCTGGAACAGAACAGAACTTCTCCAGGCTGAGGGACTGACAACCTCAAATCTACAACTTTAAGGGTGATGGACTGATTACATCGTCTTCACATCTCTACTGTTCCTGCCTACTTTCTGTACTCAACTGATGAAGCCTACTGTGTAGGCGAAACGTTTCGGAATAAAGTTGCCTAAATGTTGCCAATGTGTCTTACCTACCAACCTTCGAAGAGGTTTGGAGTTTACCAACTCCAAAAGACTGACATTCTGTCTGGTGACAGACTTGCATACATTAATTTTTTTACATTTTTTCCTCAATTTACATTGTCTATTTAACTCTTGTAATTACAATTGACGGCATTTTTTTCCTACACTGAATTTAGGGGGAAGCACTAAACCAATAGGGGTCATACAAAGTTATTTCAAACTTCAATGTGAATATTCTAACAACTTCAACACTAAAGTTAGGATTTTAACCGGAAATAATTACACAGCATCGAAAACTGATGTTGGAACTTTGCTATCATCATCTTGCCCTATGAGCAAAACATCGACAACACATTCCCTTTTAATATCCCTCCCAAAAGCATTCACTACAAGCTATGAGAAGCTTAGGAGTGCCAAGAAAAGGAGGATTAAAAACTTATTAAAATCTAATACTATTTTTTAAATTATTTGCATATTAAATTCTTACCCTTTGAGTCTTACGAGCAACGGAAGTAATAAGCTTTCTATTACCATAGTCCATGTGCTGGCCCTTTCCATTAGCATTTTTTTTTTTGGCATGTGGTTTAAGTATTTTGGACACAATGTACAATTTACTATTTTATTGGAACCTAAAATAAACCTTAGAAAGTTAAAACTACCGCCCCCCCCCCCCAAGTCACACTGATTACAACAAATTTACGCAAGGATAAAAATCCCCAGTGGTAAGTGAACTAGGGTAAAGGACGAGGGAAATAAGATTTTGTTTAGCTTTTTAATCAAGAAAGTTAGCCATCCAGGATAAACCAAAGAAAGTGCATAATCAGGGGCTGTCTTATTTCCATCAGGATCTTTTAATCTTGCCCTCCAAGATGCCAACCACAACACCTGGCTAAAACCCAGGTACGTACTTATTGCAAACAGGGACAAGTTAGTAAACACCAATTTCCACCCATGCCAGGGAAAAACCATAACAGTCATAGGAGCTGAGGTTTATCAACTGTTATAAAACCGAGCCACAGTACCGAAGGGAGGGAAATGTAAAGTCAGGCACTTGTTGCGGAGTTAGAATAACTGGGTAGGGTAATTTATTTTTAACGGGTTTGTGGAGAATAGAAAAATTATTTTTAGTGGGTTTTAAAATAAAATTAGGAAAAGTTTTTGGTTCATATCATTAATTTAAAATTTTCCCATGTTACTTTTTTTTAAACTTTAAACCCAACCATAATTTTTTGGGGGCAAATATGAAAGTTTTGCCCCCCACTTTTTCCGGTAAGAACTTCATGGTGCACCACAACTTACTCAGCGCTTTATTCGAGAACCTTATTTTTTAATATCTCATCTACTAACAGTTCTGGGTTTCACTGCCCTGGGGCCTGTCTCCGACCAGGCAAATCTCGAAATCACTTCTTAATAGGTTACTAAAGGAATAAATGCTAACAAATACAAAAAAAAAATGGTTCCCCAACAGCACCCCCTTTTTCCATTTTTTAAATGACATGAAGAACCTTCTAAATATATTAGTTAAGAATACAGCACAAATCTTACAAAATAAACATTCAGTATAAAGTTTACTTATCTATATTTCATAATATTGTAGTTGTTATTTATATACAGTGGAACCTCAAATAAACTTTCTTTTTTTCCAACGGCTGTTCAAGTGCCGTTACCGAAAAATTTTTTTTTTTTTTTTTTTCAAAAATTTTCGGCCTTTCTCCCACCGAGGGGGGGTGACCCAAAAAGAAAGAAAACCCCCAAAAAGAAAATACTTTCACTTTATTCAACCTTTTTCACCTCCTCACACTTACACTGCTTTTGCAGAGGTGCTCAGAATAAAAACATTTTAGAAGCATATACATATAAAGATACACAACTATCCTCCAAACTGCTAATATCCCAAACCCCCCCTTTTAAAGTGCAGGCATTGTACTTCCCAATTCCGGGGACTCAAGTCCGGTAATAAAAATAACCGGTTTCCCTGAATCCCTTCACTAAATATTACCCTGCTCAACCAACAGATCATCAGGGGCCAAATACCTTCGTCTCCATTACTCCTATCGAACACGCTCAGCACGCCCGCTGGAAGTCCAAGCCCCTCGCCCACAAAACCTCCCTTCCCCCTTTCCCTTTCCCAAACCCTTTTTGAGAAAAGGCCCCTACCCCGCCCTTCCCCTTTCCTACAGATTTAAAAGCTCTCCATGTATTTACTTTGATTCTTCTCTCTAAAAAGACCAACCCACCTCAACAACCCCCCTTTTGCCCCCACTAATACATTTATTAACTCCACCCTTCCCTAATTTCCACACTCCAAATTTTTTGCATATTATTATTCCATCAGGGAAAATGTAGATTTGTTCTTTCAGACCCTCAAAAATACCTTATCAAAGCACTTACAAAAATACGTTTTCATAAATTTGGGCAGTTGGGACAGTTCGATATTTGAGGGTTCCCCTGTAGTACATTTTCTCATTTTGCCTAATCTGAAAACCCAAACCACGGATAGTGGGGTTCAAACCATTACCAGTGATAATTTACTGATAAGTTTACTACTGTTATAAAAACCCTATCTCCCCTGATGATAGCTAATTTTAATGCTTTAAACTGTCCAAACAACATTACGTTCACATGCGTATGCCCAAAAGTAGTCCAATTTTTTTTTTATAAATTTAAATTTTTTTTTCAAGCTTTCAAAAAAGTAAAAAAAATCTACGTTTTTTAATATTTTTAAATGGAAAAAACTTTTGATCTACTTTGGACAGTTTAAGGGTTAAAAATGAATTTCTTCCAAAAAAAAAAAAATAATATATATATATAATAAATAATAAAATTTAATATAAATTTAAATATATAATAATATAATATATATATATATAATATATAAATAATAATATATATAATTATTTATGATGGGTTGTAAAGGAATAAAGCTAGGGTGTTTGGGAGAGGGGGTGGGGTTAAATTATTGGGGGAAACAAATTCAAAATGGGTTTACACAGTTACTTTTGCTGATGAAAACTGTGCTTATGGGAGATTTAAAGAAAAAATTTCAAAGGGTTTGTGGGTGATTTTGGGAAGTGTTAAAGGTAGAAATTGAAAGTGAACATAGAAAAGGTAAGGTGAGGGGGGTGTCAAATATTTTTGATAAAAAAAAAATTGGATTCAAATTTGGGGGGGAGGAGTATGGAAGAATGAAGTTTTCAGATACTTGGGGTTGACGTGTCGGCGGGTGGATTTATGAAGGAAGGTTAATCAAGATTTATGAGGAAAAAAAGGGGGTGGGCGTTTAGGTATATTGGATCAAAAAAAAAGTTTTCATGGAGGCAAAGAAGGGAATGTATAAATAAGTAGTACCAACACTTTATAGGGTGTGAAGCTTGGGTGGGAAATCAGCAGCGAGGGACGGTTGGGGGGCGCGGAGATGTCCTGTTTAAGGGCAATTTTGGTGTAAATATTTTGCAGAAAAATTTGGGGTGTGGGAAATTTGGAGAAGGTGTGGGGTTTAAAAAAAGTATTTCAAAGGGGAGAAAAAGGGGTTGTTGAGGGGGTTTGGTCATTTTGAGAGAATGGTCACAGTGAATGACATGGAAAGCTATAAATTATGGGAAGGGGGGGGGTAGGGGGCGTCCTCGAAAAGGGGTTTGGGGAGGGGGGTAAAGGGGGGTTTTGTGGTAAGGGGGGTTGGACTTCCAGAAGCGTGCGTTTAGCGTGTTGATAGGAGGAATGGGGCGAAATTTACTTGGGCCTAAAAGATCTGTTTTATGTAGAGGGGGAAAAATTTTGTGAAGGATTCGGGAAACCGGTTTTTTCATATAGTCGGACTTGAGCCCGGGAAAAGGGAAGTCAATGCCCCCCCTTTTAAAAGGGGGGGGTTTGGGATATTTAAAATTTGGAGGGATATGTTTTATCTTTATATGTTTATGCTTTAGACTGTTGTATTCTGGCACCTCGCAAAAAAAGTGATAAGGCGATGGGTGAAAGGTTGAATGAGAGAAAGTATTTTCTTTTTGGGGATTTTCTTCTTTTTTGGGTCACCCTGCTCGGGGGGAAAGGCCGAACTTGTTGAAAAAAAAAAAAAAAAAAATATATATATATAAATATAATAATATATTATAAATAATATATAAATTAAATATATATTTTTATTATATTAATATCTAAAATTAATAACCATACTATATATATAAACAATGAAATACAAAGGTACATATCTGTATCCAACACAGCAATTACAGAAGAAATTATACTTACGGGAATTAGCCTGGCCAATCTCCCCTATCTCATTGGGATCCAACCACACTTTTTTCTTGCCACATTTTAGCACCTCAGAAGCGAGGCGCTTCTGTACCTTGAGCGAACTGAAAAAACAATATATATCAGTAATGTGTAAGTTTAAGTGTAGTACACATAAGTACAATTATCAGTGTAAATTACCTAGAATAACACGAAGTCAGACTTATTTCCATTGGGATCCATGCGAATACTGAAGAAATGAAAAATGAATAGTATTATATTTACGAGATACTACAAGTCTTTCAAAGCATTTGTGGACTTTATTGGGGATGGGGGGGGGCATATATGCTCATTTGTACCTAACTGAGAACTGATAGTCCCTACTATGTAGATCTCAATAAAATGCCATAAAATAAACATGTCTCTTGAAACAATCACAAAATAAAATAATGGTCGTATCGAATAAGAACTAACCTTCAGGTATGCTTTTTATGTCATAATTGTATGGATGTGACATATTTCTAGTGATAGGTGGTAGCATCAACCATTTCAATTAGAGGGCCACCTGCAGTGTCTGGTTAAAAATTACACAATAGCTACTAATTTTCCCAAGTGTCTGGTGATGTCAAATTTTTCAAATCACAGATATTGCCAAATTATCCATGCTGTAGGTCTGGCAAATTCAAACATTACCACTAGTTACCCTAAAGCATAATTTAGGTAAAGGTTTGGTTAATAGTTCTCCATAGTTTCATTAAATTTATATATGGGAGGACTCTACGCCAGAAATAAAGTATTAAAGACATCTCACTACAAACTGATGATTTGGTAACTTACTTGAGATCACAGGCGCTATTTTTTATAAGGCAACTTTTAAGAATAATTTTTTTTAACACATCGGCCATTTCCCAAGGCATGGCGACCCGAAAAAGAAGAAATACTTTCACCACCACCCATTCCATCACTGTCTTGCCAGAGGCATGCCAATACTACAGCTACAACTGCAAAATCTCCACCCTCCCCCTCAGGTTTTGTCCGTGAAAAGCACCTACTGCAGGCTTTAATTACATGAATGTAAATGACAATATAAATGCCTGCACTTTAAAGGAGGGGTTTGGGATATTAGCAGTTTGGAGGGATATGTTGTGTATCTTTATACGTATATGCTTCTAAACTGTTGTATTCTGAGCACCTCTGCAAAAACAGTGATAATGTGTGAGTGTGGTGAAAGTGTTGAATGATGATGAAAGTATTTTCTTTTTGGGGATTTTCTTCTTTTGGTGCCCTGCCGGTGTGGTCACCTGCTCGGTGGGTCACCCTGCCTTGGTGGGTCACCCTGCCTTGGTGGGTCACCCTGCCTCGGTGGGTCACCCTGCCTTGGTGGGTCACCCTACCTTGGTGGGTCACCCTGCCTCGGTGGGTCACCCTGCCTTGGTGGGTCACCCTGCCTTGGTGGGTCACCCTGCCTCGGTGGGTCACCCTGCCTCGGTGGGTCACCCTGCCTCGGTGGGTCACCCTGCCTTGGTGGGTCACCCTGCCTCGGTGGGTCACCCTGCCTCGGTGGGAGACGGCCGACTTGTTGAAAAAAAAAAAAAAATGACAAACTTTCAGGAGCAATAATATCCCACCATCTAAATAACAAAGCCTTACCAACAAAAGATAACGAGTTCTAGAATAAATGCCTAACATGGGCCAGTATGCCTGCTGTAGTGCTTCTCCTTTTTTATGTTCTTATATTCTAGACTACAAAGTTATAGCTCATTCAGTAGTCTTTCAATATTTTACTGCTGGCAAAATTCTACACCTGGAGAGAGTTTCGGGGTCAATGCCCCCGCAGCCCAGTCCAAGACTAGGCCTCGTGGTGGATCAGGGTCTGATCAACCAGGCTGTTACTGCTGGCCACACAACCTGACATACAAACCACAGCCCGGCTGGTCAGGTACTGACTTTAGGTGCCTGTCCAGTGCCTTCTTGAAGACAGCCAGGGAAAATCCCCCTTATGTATGCTGAGAGGAAGTTGAAGCCTTGGGCCCCTGACACTTATTGTGTTGTCTCAGTGTACTTGTGGCGCCCCTGCTTTTCATTGGGGAAACGTTGCATCTCCTGCCGAGTCTTTTGCTTTCGCAGGGAGTGATTTTCATGTGAAAGTTTGGTACCAATCCCTCTAAGATTTTCCAAGTGAATATTATCATTTAGCTCTCTTGCCTGCATTCCAGGGAATACAAGTCAAGGGACTTCAACCGTTCCCAGTAATTTAGATGGTTTATCGTGCCGTGAAAGTTCTTTGTACACTCTCCAGGTCAGCAATTTTGCCAGCCTTGAAGGGGGCAGTTAATGTACAGCAGTATTCCAGCCTAGAGAGAACAAGCGATTTGAAGAGAATCATGGGCTTCGTGTGTCCCTAGTTCTGAGGGTTCTAATTACCCACTATCATTTTTCTAGCAGATGCAGTATATACACTGTTGTGGTCATTGAAGGTGAGATCCTCTGACATTATTACTATGTATAAATTATATTATTGGCAAATACTAACTTATTGTAAAAAAAACATGTGGATATATTTTACCAAGTTACAGAGCCTTCTGCTGCAAAATTCAACATCGGTAACCAGCAAATTCAGCGACTTCAGGGGATACCATGTTTCTTTAAATGTTACTTTTATATCTAAAACAGTCTTTTTTTTTTTTTTTCAACAAGTCGGCCGTCTCCCACCGAGGCAGGGTGACCCACCGAGGCAGGGTGACCCACCGAGGCAGGGTGACCCACCAAGGCAGGGTGACCCACCAAGGCAGGGTGACCCACCGAGGCAGGGTGACCCAAAAAAGAAAGAAAATCCCCAAAAAGAAAATACTTTCATCATCATTCAACACTTTCACCACACTCACACATTATCACTGTTTTTGCAGAGGTGCTCAGAATACAACAGTCTAGAAGCATACACATATAAAGATACACAACATATCCCTCCAAACTGCCTTAATTACAACCTTAATTACATTGCTGGTTAACTCAAAATTGTACTTTTATCTAGTCACTGAAACTACTGCCTGGATAACTTACCAATGTTGGCAACTTTATAATTCAGCAACTTTGCCAGACACCAGAATAACATTAAGACTTATATTACAGTGGTACCTCAAGTTTCAAACAGCTCCCAACTTGAACAATTATGAATTTTTGTAAGTGTATTTTTGGGGGTCTGAAATGGACTAATCTAATTTATATTATTCCTCATGGGAACAAATTCGTTTGGTATCGGCATGCAAACAGCCTTCTGGAACGAATTAAGTTCGTAACTGAAGGTACCAGTGTACTTGTATCTCTAGATGTTAAGTTGAGCTTCAAACAGGTTTATTTAGGTACAAATACACAAGAACAATTATCATACCTAGTTTACCATATGTAAATTAAATGACCCAAAAAAGTTAAGACATTGGGATCCTTGCACAGGTCGACCATCACTAATCCGGCACAAACATTATTTCTTGTTCACTTATAAAACTGCGTTGCTCTAGACCTTTTAGCAGTTCACATGTTAACTAAATTAACTTATTAACAGATGCTACCCAAAATTAGTGCTGGATTATTGATGGCCGAAGTATAATACCTTATTTAAAGCAAAGTTGTAGATAAATGATTCAGAGCTAACAAGTTGATAAATTAGACGCACATGCAACGCTTGGGTAAGTGTTGCATATATGTAGTTTATAAACCCTAGTTATAATTTACAGCAATCGGTCGTTATAACCCGAGTTAACGCCTCAGTCTGGCCGACAAATCAAGCATAACAGAAAAATAACCTTCGTAACCATAATTTTTTCGTGTTTAATTAAAATGAGCTATTATAGGTATACAAATTATAATCAAAACTAATAAGAACATAAGAACGAAGGAACACTGCAGAAGGCCTACTGGCCCATGCGAGGCAGGTCCAAGTCTCCTACCGGCTTAAGCCAATGCACCCAACCTAGTCAGGTCAGGTCACATTGACTTAAGGGAGGAACACGGCAACCGACCTGGTAGCACAAGCTATCAGGTCCAACTCACACCCACCCACATCCACTCATGTATTTATCCAACCTATTTTTAAAGCTACACAACGTTCTGGCCTCTATAACTGTACTCGGGAGTTTGTTCCACTCATTCACAACTCTATTACCAAACCAGTACTTTCCTATATCCTTCCTGAATCTGAATTTTTCTAACTTAAAACCATTGCTGCGAGTCCTGTCTAGGCTAGATATTTTCAGCACACTATTTACATCCCCTTTATTTATTCCTGTCTTCCATTTATACACCTCAATCTTTTTTTTTTTTTTATCACACTGGCCGATTCCCACCAAGGCAGGGTGGCCCAAAAAAGAAAAACTTTCACCATCATTCACTCCATCACTGTCTTGCCAGAAAGGTGCTTTACACTACAGTTTTTAAACTGCAACATTAACACCCCTCCTTCAGAGTGCAGGCACTGTACTTCCCATCTCCAGGACTCAAGTCCGGCCTGCCGGTTTCCCTGAACCCCTTCATAAATGTTACTTTGCTCACACTCCAACAGCACGTCAAGTATTAAAAACCATTCGTCTCCATTCACTCCTATCAAACACGCTCACGCACGCCTGCTGGAAGTCCAAGCCCCTCGCACACAAAACCTCCTTTACCCCCTCCCTCCAACCTTTCCTAGGCCGACCCCTACCCCGCCTTCCTTCCACTATAGACTGATACACTCTTGAAGTCTTTCTGTTTCGCTCCATTCTCTCTACATGTCCGAACCACCTCAACAACCCTTCCTCAGCCCTCTGGACAACAGTTTTGGTAATCCCGCACCTCCTCCTAACTTCTAAACTACGAATTCTCTGCATTATATTCACACCACACATTGCCCTCAGACATGACATCTCCACTGCCTCCAGCCTTCTCCTCGCTGCAACATTTATCACCCATGCTTCACACCCATATAAGTGTGTTGGTAAAACTATACTCTCATACATTCCCCTCTTTGCCTCCAAGGACAAAGTTCTTTGTCTCCACAGACTCCTAAGTGCACCACTCACCCTTTTCCCCTCAATTCTATGATTCACCTCATCCTTCAGACCCCATCCTTCATAGACCTCATCAATCATATCCCCCCTAATTCTACGTCTTTCTAGAGAGTGCAGATTCAGGGCCCTTAGTCTATCCTCATAGGGAAGGTTTCTGATACATGGGATCAACTTTGTCATCCTCCTTTGTACAATTTCCAGAGCATTTATATCCATTCTGTAATACGGTGACCAAAACTGTGCAGCATAATCTAAATGAGGCCTAACCAAGGATGTATAGAGTTGAAGAACAACCTGAGGACTCCTATTATTTATGCTTCTTGATATGAAGCCAAGGATTCTGTTGGGTTTATTGCAAACATTTATGCACTGTTGTCTTGGTTTCAGATTACTGCTAACCAGAACTCCTAAATCTTTTTCGCAATCCGTAATATTAAGATCTACATTATTTAGTTTATATGTGGCATGGTTATTGTCCTGTCCAACATTTAGAACTTTGCATTTGTCTATATTAAACTGCATCTGCCACTTCTCCGACCACTGCATCAGTCTATTCAAATCTTCCTGGAGTGCTCGAATGTCCTCGTCAGAATGAATTCGACGGCCTATTTTGGTGTCATCGGCAAACTTGCCGATGTCGCTCTTTATGCCCTCATCTATGTCTATGTAGATTGTGAACAGCAGGGGGCCCAACACTGACCACTGTGGAACACCACTCGTGAAGGTTCTTATTCATAACCGTTATCACTGAACAATATTTCTATACGTTCATACTTATATATGTAATTTGTACGTAGCTTCAAAATAATAAAAACTAAGCGCTAAACCCACCAGGGTCATACAGCTCTAAGTATACAAATTTTAAAGCTTTATTCAGCTCAATTTGACAAAATATAATGACTCTATGGATAAACAATTATAAATTTAAGCACTAAACCTGTATGGGCAATAAACTAATAACAGCCTACTGGTGGCTGCTACTACAAGCATTAATTTAGGAACAAATTAGGTAGTTAAACACCAACAATTAACATTAATCACCTAAAACATTCACTAACAAACATATAATGTTATAAAATAAGCTTCAACCGAGAGGCAGCTCCTGGACCCCAACATGACGCAACATCTAACAATGATGGTAAAATTATACATATACACCTGGAAGAAAAAGGACACATGCAATTAATGTTTTATTACAGCCGTCTGGGACTCCAGGAACTTTATTAAGGCAATAAAAATAAATAAATTAATTATTATCACGTGTCCATAAGACGCCGCTGCTGGTAATGTTGACTATTTTCCTCTCACACCTTAATTTACACCTTTATCACTCATATTATAAGCTTTCTAGTAGAGTATTATATATGCAGAACACAGGAGAGTAACAGCAAGTAAATATTAAGAAAATTATCCGCAGATATGGCTTCAAACATGCTGATAAAAGTTTGGAATTCCACTTCATATTTCCTCGTCCTTCCTCACACACGGCCATAACCTGCTCTTATACCCGCCTACCTGCAACGGAACCATCATAGAATACATCCAGTAAAACAGTAACAGAGCACAAATGGCTGAAACACCGAGTAAATAAGGTATAAAGAAGTAATGTTTACACAGAGACCTCATGTTGGTGGAGCTGGAGGAAGAGGAGGATGTGACGTCATCACGTTATCCTCTTAGACATATTTTTTTATCTGGAAAATATTTACCTAGTAACACAACCTTATATAACTTATACGTTGTATTTCTTTTATTAATATATATAGAATAAAAATAATCTAATTTTTGAATGGTGTGTTGGTTATGTGATGGTAAGTAATTTATGAATCATGTTATATCGGGTAATTTATATATATTTTTGAAGCAATAAGTATGTACCTAATATCATAATCTTCTACACATTAATTTTAAACATTCTACTAAATATATACATTACTAAAATATCCTTTTGGGGGACAAATGTCTGTGTGCGTTATATAATACAAAAGTATTCATGAATCTAGTTATACCTGGCAATTTTCCATTTTTATTTAGACAATAAATTATATATAACAAATTATATAATATATTTTATATGTATCTTATATCACGGCCTTATAGGTATTATTTTTCAATATTTTTTTTTCAATTTATATCTATATTCTTGACATCTAAACAATATTTGCCAAAATACGTTTTTTAAATATGTATTTATTTCTTATTTATATTATTAACGTATTTCAAATATATATTTTTATTAGTTTTTAAATAACAATATTAGTACAAAAATTGATTCATTTGTATTTGTTATTTATTTATATTTTAATGGCTTTTAATGAAAAATTTTGTTCCTCATTTTATTAACTTATTTGCGTCAACGATAAACCCGTCGGGGTCATAAAGCGCCTGGGTAATGGAAGGCAGTGTATTTGATCCAAGGAAGAGGATGGCAGCTCCTATTCCTCGGATCAAGAGCCCCTTCATGGCTTTCCTTGTTGTTTATGGCTCTTGATCGTTCTTTAAGACAACTTCTCCAGCTCTTTGGCTGAGAATAACCAATCAAAACTAGCTTTATCCTGATGCTGGTCAAGGATAACCAATCAAAACCCCGGGATAATATCTCATCTTAATAGCTGGAGAAACAGAACGCAGCAGCCAATAGGAAGCCGTCATAATACCCTTCATTAGCTAATCAGAGAGACTTTATCAACAACGTCACTGGTAGGAGCTCTCAGCCAATAGCAAGCCTCGTTGCAAGTCCACATGGACACAATCTGCACAATTTTGAGCGGGTGAAATGAGGACGCGGGATGTCCTCTGTCTTGGTGTGTTATTTTATCATTTTATTGCGTTAACATTGATAATTTACGTTGTTAATGTATGTTAAAATATGTGATAAATATTTAATTTACATTTGAGAGTGATGACACGTTAAAATAACTTGTAATTCAGCCATAAACCGGAGTTCCATCCCCCCCCCAAAAAAAAATGGCTAAGAAGGAAATTTTGCCTGTAAACAGTTGTAATTTAACCTTAAAAGAGAGTTAATCATGGAGTAATTTATGTGACGCTGTAATATAGTACCATAAAGTAGTAATTACGTGTCAGGTGACCTTTTTTGTGCCAGAAATGATAAAATTGTGAAGGTGTCATGGCGTCCCCCCCCTCAGGCTGGTTCCTGGTCACAACATAAATGGTTCAGGGAACCGACAGGTTCATAAATTATACATGTATAACATTTGTATCTTTCCACAGTAACTTCATTAGTCCACTACTAACAAGAGTTGGTAAAGAAGAGAAGTCTGGGGTAATCAGTCCCTCAACTGAGGGACTGATTTCATTGCCTCGTTCCCGCAGAGCTGCACGACCCGTACGGGTTTAGCGTTTCCAGGTTATGTCCCGCCTGGAACAACAATAAATCACGTGCAGGTTCACCAGTGTGGTCATAATTGTATATTTTGTGGCTGGGGGGAGGGAGGGGGGTCTGGAGACCAAGATGGCGGAAGCCTCGTCTGAGAAATTACTGGGAAATTTTTATTTCTCCGCATTAACCCCCCTCAAGGAAGGTTCCTTGATGTTGGTGAGGGGATCTTGATTTAGGGAATTGGATCTGTGCTCCAGTTCCCCGAATTAAGCCTGAATGCCTTCCACTTCCCCCCCCCCCAGGCGCTGTATAATCCTCCGGGTTTAGCGCTTCCCCCTTGATTATAATAATAATAATAATAATAATAATAATAATATGGTCTGTATAAGTTGTATCATGTACTGCTAGAAATAATTATTATTAATTGTTAATTATTGATAATTATTAATTATAATTATTAATTATTATTTATTAATTGTTATTATTAATTCTCATTATAATTATTCTTTATTAATTATAATTATTAATTATCATTATTATTAATACTTTAGATTATTATTAGATATTAATTTTTATTAATTCTTATTATATCAATTATTAGTATTAATTCTTATATTATCAATTATTATTAATTTTTATATTATCAATTATTATTATTTAACCTGTAATTGACCTGCCCGACCTATCCAAATTATCTGGCCTAGTTTATTGTAGCCTAGCCTGATTCCTTGGATCACGAGCATTTTGTACCTGCAACAGGAAGCATGCCCTTCAGTTTAAGGGGAATTATTCCTTAACGTACGGGTTTAGCGCAGCTTCAAGATTTAAAAAGATGGCCGACCTTCAAGGAGAGGGGGGGGTCATGATGCTTCTGAAATTATATGGGGATGTACAAGTAGGGGGCGCCATTGGTACACTAAGGGAAAACACCATAAGTGTCCGGGGCCCAAGACTGTTCAACAGCCTCCCATCAAGCATTAGGGGAATTGCCAATAAACCCCTGGCTGCCTTCAAGAGAGAGCTGGACAGATACCTAAAGTCAGTGCCGGATCAGCCGGGCTGTGGCTCGTACGTTGGACTGCGTGCGGCCAGCAGTAACAGCCTAGTTGATCAGGCCCTGATCCATCGGGAGGCCTGGTCATGGACCGGGCCGCGGGGGCGTTGATCCCCGGAATAACCTCCAGGTAAGGCAGTGGGAATGGTTTACGTGGCGGGATGTACGTGTCGGGAAGGATGTACGTGTTAGGAAGGATGTACGTGTTGCGAAGGATGTACATGGCAGGATGTACTTGACAGGGTGTACTTGACAGGAAGGATGTACTTGACAGGAAGGATGTACATGACAGGATGTACTTGACAGGAAGTATGTACATGACAAGATGTACGTGACAGGGTGTACTTGACAGGAAGGATGTACATTACAGGATGTACGTGACAGGATGTACTTGACAGGAAGGATGTACATGATAGGATGTACGTGACAAGGTGTACTTGACAGGAAAGATGTACACGACAGGATGTACGTGACGATGTACTTGACAGGAAGGATGTACGTGACGATGTACTTGACAGGAAGGATGTACGTGACAAGAAGGTTGTACATGGCAGGATGTATGTGACAGGAAGGATGTACGTGACAGGAAGGTCGTAAGTGACAGGAAGAATGTACATACAATACTACTGTATAAGAAATACAATAGTCTAGTCAATATAGTGATAATTACAAGTATTTATGCCTTATAAAAATTTCTGTGACGACAATGATTGTGAAGCTTCGTGTGTAGGTTATTTTTTGAACATCAAAATGGTATACAATACCGACAGGTTGTTAGGTAAGACACATATGCAACAGTTAGACAACTTTATTCCGAAACGTTTCGCCTACACAGTAGGCTTCTTCAGTCGAATACAGAAAGTAGGCAGGAACAGTAGAGATGTGAAGACGATGTAATCAGTCCATCACCCTTGAAGTCGTAGAATTTGAGGTTGTCAGTCCCTCAGCCTGGAACTGAACTGCTCCAGGCTGAGGGACTGACAACCTCAAATTCTACGACTTCAAGGGTGATGGACTGATTACATCGTCTTCACATCTCTACTGTTCCTGCCTACTTTCTGTATTCGACTGAAGAAGCCTACTGTGTAGGCGAAACGTTTCGGAATAAAGTTGTCTAACTGTTGCATGTGTCTTACCTAACAGGTTATTTTTTATTTCTATGTGGGCACAGCCTACCCAGATTATCTTTACTCAGCCTAGGTTATCCTAGCATAGGCTTAGTTGTCCAGCTTAGATCAGCCTAGCTTAATTCCTAGGTTAGTTCTTGGGTTCATCAGTTTTTCCACTTTGAAACCCCTCAAGGACGGTTCTTTGGTGTTGGTGAGGGGCTCTTGATTTAGGGAATTGGATCTGTGAAACCCCTCAAGGACGGTTCTTTGGTGTTGGTGAGGGGCTCTTGATTTAGGGAATTGGATCTGTGAAACCCCTCAAGGACGGTTCTTTGGTGTTGGCGAGGGGCTCTTGATTTAGGGAATTGGATCTGTGCTCCAGTTCCCCGAATTAAGCCTGAATGCCTTCCACATCCTCCCCCCAGGCGCTGTATAATCCTCCGGGTTTAGCGCTTCCCCCTTGATTATAATAATAATCCACTTTGAAAAAGGCGCCATTTTCAGGGTAGATATTGCATGCCTAGTTTATAGGGTATTTTTAATATATTTTAAGACCATTGTCTTTTTCTTTATTGAATCTCTTGATTCGGGGAAGTGGAGCTACTCTCTCGTATCAACTTTATTACCTCATTTCCTAGGCGCTGTGGCCCATACGGGACTATCGCTCCCCGGCGGGAAATGATGCAAATGTAAACAAAAAATTGGCGCGAATTAATGTGTTGATAAGTCGCTGTACTCACCTAATTGTGGTTGCAGGGGTCGAGACTCAGCTACTGTGCTACTGTGCTACTGGAGCTACTGTGCTACTGTGCTACTGTGCTACTGGAGCTACTGTGCTACTGGAGCTACTGTGCTACTGTGCTACTGGGACGGCTATTACTGTGCTACTGGAGCTACTGTTGGCTACTGTGCTACTGAGCTACTGTGCTACTGTGCTACTGTGCTACTGGAGCTACTGTGCTACTGGAGCTACTGTGCTACTGGAGCTACTGGAGCTACTGTGCTACTGGAGCTACTGTGCTACTGGTGCTACTGTGCTACTGGAGCTACTGTGCTACTGGAGCTACTGTGCTAGTGGAGCTACTGTGCTACTGGAGCTACTGTGCTACTGGAGCTACTGTGCTACTGGAGCTACTGTGCTACTGGAGCTACTGTGCTAGTGGAG